CTGGTGGACTCGATTTTGGTAGAAAGATGCAGTTGACTCGAGAAAATATATTTTAAACTCTCTTTTTTTTCCCTTTTTTTTTTCTCTTCTTTTTTATATTTATTATATTTTTTGTCATGAATAATAAGATAAAATAACATTCAAAAAATTTTAGTGAATCCAAAATTGGGTTACAACACTTATATACCCATGATCCTTCCCATTTCTAACCAATGTGAGACTTTGATCACATACCCAACAAATAATACAGACCCTAATTTTCTAATCATTAAAAAGATTGATTCTGTAAACACATAATTGATTCTTTAATACCTTCTAATGAATAATGCATGGCTTAAAGGCCCTAAACAAATTACCAAATCGTTTACAAAAGAGGAAATGAAACTTACAGGTATGTTAACGATGACCAATCACCAATGTACGGGGGGATTTCACCACTTATTGAGCAATTCCTTATCATCCTACACAAACCATTGAAGAAGTTGGTGTTTGGATTTATCCAATGCATACATATCATTAAGAGTTAAAAAAATAAGTTGTCATTTTAAAAAAGATTTTCAAAATTATGTGTTTATCAGGCATTCAGGTTACTATGAGATGTGTCAAACTTACTATATTATATTAAATTAACTCTAACATGATTTTGATTTTGATTTTAAATTTAAATTAGATAAAAAGAATCCAAAACTATATCATTTATCCAAATTTAATAATATTATTAGAATATTACTCGTTGCCTAAACATTTTTTTATACATTAAATATTTTTTTGTTCGGCTAGTAGCATAACGTAATTATCCAGTAATCGATCTAATCCATTTAGAAAAAAATAATATTATCAACTATATGAGCAGGGAATATCATGGGGTAAGTTCAGATTGTAATAAAAAGGACTTATTCCATTCAAAGTTCTTAGGTCTGGAAACAATCATTGGCTCGTAAAAAAGATGGCAAATTTATTTTTAATTAGTCTTTTTCATAAAAGTATTCTAAGACAATCATTTAGCTTCGACATTTATGCAATATTTATACCAAAAAGGTCTCTTTAGACGTTTAATGTTTATGTATGGTAAATTTATTTGTATTTATTTTTACTATACCAAAAAGTAAAGTATACCTTTTATATATATCTATGTATCTAACTGGTCCAAGTTTAAGAGTTTTTCAATATTACTATTTGGATTTACCATATAGGTTAATCTGAAATATAATTAATTTAGAATCTAGAGAAGTTTAAATTAAATAAATAAAGAGTTTAGTTGATTTGATAAAAAAAATTAAGTTGACCTACTAATCAGGTCAACACCTGGCCCTCAATTTCTAGAAATTTTTATAAAAAATATTGTTTTTATTATATTAAAAAAAATACATTTAAAAATTGACTTAGATATTTTTGGATTCATATCTAATATAAAAATGTGATCCAATATTTAATATTAAAATTGTAGTTGCATAAATCTAATGAGTTTGTAAAGTAGATAATATCATAAAATTATCATTTATATAGGCTATATATAAAGGATCGCAAATGATAATTTTATTCAATTCACGAAATTACCAGCAGCCATAAAAGCACAAATAAACCACAGCAGACAAAGCAAACACACATATTTTCTCATGGAGTCTCTCACGCACGTTCTCTTGTCACCACCACATAACTAGACCCAACAACACTTATGTTATAGAGTATTAATTAATAAAATAAAAAAGAGGCAGAAGGTTTTCATCACCAAACTTAACATTACCAATTGGCTAAGAAATTGGCTCTATTTCCAACACCCTGGAACACGCACCGCACAGTCCTCCAATATTTGCTGATGGAGTATCACCTTCGAAAATCTCATCGATTCTTTTCTCACCTTCAAGTACACTGATGACTTCAGATATTTTAGGCCTGAGAGTAGGAGACAGATTAACGCACTTCATTGCTAACAGCAAAACAGTTAGAGCCTGCTTCCTGTCGTAACTGGATGCTAATCTCTTGTCCACCAAGTCAAGGATTCTTCCCTTATCGTACAAAACACCAGCCTGCAATTGAAAAGCAAGATTAGCTTAGCTCTAAGTATTAAGGAAATAATCAAGTAAATATTCCTGATTATTTCTAATCAATAAAAAACAAATCAAGGAATTAAATAATTCTAGGTAATCAAGAAATTATTTCAATCATCCAATTAAAGGATACAATCAACTATATTTTCTATAATTTATTTTATTTTATTTACTTATGTATCTTATTATATAATTATATAAACTTCAAATGAGTTGAATATAACATATATATCAAATTATTAAATAATAATATCTTTTTTATTCTAAATTTCTTCTTAGTATTAGAGCGATCTCTAAATATTAGCTTTTGTTTTTTCATGAGTTGAATGAAACACATATATTTAAGTTATTTGATGTTGACAGAACATGTTTGGTTTAATAATAACTATGAAAAAAAAACAAAGGGTTTATCCTGTAAGATCCACTTACTTTATCCAGAAGAAACTCAGCTTCTTGGTTTGGTGTGTAATCTGCACTAACTTTTCCGCTAACTATTTCGAGTAGGACAATTCCAAAACTGTAAACATCAGCTTTAACAGTTATTGCTTTTCCCATTGAGTACTCAGGTGCCATGTAAACTCTGCAATAAGAGATTAACTATTGGTTAATTAGCTCTTAATTAAAAGAATGGAAGTAGTTGTCAATCAATGATCATAATATATACTTACCGCGACCCTTTTGCTTTGATGGCCATAAATGGATCTTCCTCATCACAAAGCGTTGCCAATCCAAAGTCAGACAACTTTGCCCTAAGAGAGTTATCAAGCAAAATATTACTAGGTTTTATGTTTCCATGAACAATCTTGAACCTTTTCTCTTCATGCAAATACTTCAAACCTCTCGCTATTCCCAGACAGATACCAAATCTAGCTTTCCAATCAAGTTTTGTCGCGGAATTTGGTTCTACAAATCAAGGTTATTGATATTTGCAAGTATACTATCCTTGTACAAACAGAAGATTTAAATATACAATTAGATGCTCTCACAAACATTAAGTGAGGGAATTCTATTTACTCCTGTTTTATAGTTCTCAACAATTATATGAATTTCACAAGGCAACGCATTAGGTGAAAATTAAGATAAAACTTGAGAACTGAAAGAGCAGGATGAAAATCGGGTGATGGCAGTATTACCGAACAACGCATGGTGAAGGGAGCCTTTATGCATGTAATCATATACTAGCAGATGTAGGCCTTTATTTGAATAGCCATCCAACAATTGAACAAGATTCTCATGATGCAAAGATTTCAGGTTGAAGATTTCTTTTCCGCAGCCAGCCCATTTTCCACATGAAAGCCAACAGAAGTAGAGGAGCAAATACTGAACCTGCAGTAATCCCTGCAATTTGTGAAGGAGATAGTCCCGTGCCAACTTTGAAGTCTGGATAGAAATAGTGGAAGACAGAAAAAAAAAATTATTTATCCAGATGAAGGGTAGCAGAAATCTTTGCTCAACAAAATTAAGAGCACGCAATTCTTACTTGCAGTTACGGAAATGCCTGACACAAGGGGTCCATTCAGAGACAGGGC